GACACTTCCAGTGCAGGACCCCTGGGGTGTGGGACAGAGGGAAAGGGTGTGGTGGTATTCTCACTCACTGAAATGAGGGAAACAGGTGTTAGAATGGGTTTCAGATGCTGATCCAAGGTGTAAGTTGTGAATTGCAAAGTCTTTTCACAGGCGCAGGTGAAGCATAGAAGGGTAGGTGGTCAGGGTGAGGTGCAAAGGTAATCCAATGAGTGATCTGTTAAAGTCAGAGTGCTGGGTGGGGAGCAAGGCAGGTGAGCATAGTTGGAGAAACTGCGAGTTGAAGCGATTGAACCAAGGCAGGCTATGGCAGTGAGTCTCAGCAACATCCGGAGATTTTCAGTGAGAAGAAAGTCAAATTTAGGAATAACTATAACCGCGACTAATGAGGGCTAGCAGACAATCTGGGCTGCCGGCTTAGGTGCAGCCTTTCAGCAGTGATGCGGCAGCTCTGCCCAGAGGTGGAAATGCCAGGATTGTGAAAAAAACCCAGCACTCACGCAAACCATGACAATTCCAATCACTTTCTTTTCAAACTCTTTACCATGACCTGGATAACAAAACATTAGAATTCAATGTTTAATCTAACAATGAATAAAACTTCCTGTAAAGAAAGTGACATTGCAGTTCTCATGTTGTGAGATGTGATGTCCAACACCTGCAGGTGCACCTCCTCTCTGAGGAAAAGTCCAAGTTGTTATGGCCAGGGCAGGGAGCAGTTGTCAGGTTGATCAGGTGTGCTGTTCAAGGTATTTTAGCTGAAGATTTGCAGACATGCAATCACTTGTTGAAGGTTTTCCTCTTGTTGTCACGTGTTTTTCTTCCCAATCTATTAAATTTAAACTTATTTTTAGTTCTCATCATAACTCTTGTAAAAACAAAAATGTGAACACCTTTCTCCTTCTAGAAAGCTATAATTTAGAAAAAAAACACTTCACCGTGATGCTTTGGAAAAAAGGATCGATTTAACGATATGCTGAAATATTTAAACTGCAGACAACTATTTTATTTTTATGTCTGTTAAAAGACCTACTTTCCCGAGTCTGGAAGAAATGTCCAATACCTCAAATGTCTTTGGTCAGTTTGTCTCTCTGCAGCTTTCCTTCCAGCAGTTCACCTTCAGGACTACAAGGACTTCCAGGACCCATGCCCCATCAGCTCCTGTAACCCCCAGCTGGGTGACCTGTTGGTGGGTCGTGCTGCTCAGCTCTCAGCGTCATCCACTTGTGGTCTGGATGGACCACAAAATTACTGCATCATCGGATATCTGGAGGTCAAATAGAAAATTCATACACACAAAGTGTGTGTGTGT